AAAAAAATCGCGTTTCGACAGTTCAGTGTATGGTCGACAACCCGTATCGACGCACTGTTCCGAAAAGTCGAAATAGACGCGTAAACAACATCTTAACTAATATATGTTATTGCGAACAATATTACCTACAGCCCCAGTGGTCGAGCTGGTTAAGACGCCCGCACGGATTGAGGGAGGTCCCAGGTTCGAATCCTGGTTGGGGTAATATTTTTCGCAATAAGAATTTTAATTGCCAGATACGGTCAATAAAAAAATCATTGATGTTGATATTTTTTACGTTTTAAAAAAAACTGATCGCGCGCAACTCCTGCGATCGGAGACAATCAATCGTATATGGACGCACTTCTATTGTGCGAGCGCGGCTCGAGAATTACGTGCGCGCGCGTACGAGGTTTGCCTAGAATTATTTATCATGGAAAAGAAAATGCGAAAAAATGGCGCTTTTCGATACCGCGGCACTTAATTCTGACGGAGACTACGTGTGTGCTTGCAAACTCACTTACGTATTACAATGCATCGCGTTGAGCTCGGGGCTGGTAAATAATTAGCCCGTGATAATATCGTGGAGAATTTTATTACATCCTGCGCGATCAGTATCGGATAGATAAATGTTGTTTACGAGATTAACTAACATATTGATTAGCTGGACAGATGAATACGATGTACTTTTTTATTCCTATATGTATGAAAACAGGGACGACGAGGACGTAAAGATGAAAGCGTATATACATGTATGTCGTACTTTCTTGCACAAAGTAATTTTGCATTCTTGTGCAACGGCGGGCATTGATGTCTTTCAGAGGAATCGCAGTTCTGCAAATGAATCATAGATAATGCGATAATTTTCTGAGAACTGCACCTATGAGTTGAATTTCCTGGGAACACATATTGCAAAGGGGAGGAGGTGTATATGACATAAGAATAATTTTTTTAATTATTTTTAATACCGACAATAATGATAAAATTAAATGTCACCTTTAACTATCGAGTTATTGACAAAAATGATTATTGCACAGTTGGCAAGTTTGTGTCTTCTTGTTAAAGCAAACGCCGGTTAATATTTTTGTATTAAATGTTTAACACATTCATGTGTTAATTTACTTTAAGTGTCAAATTATTAAAATACTGAAAAGAAATGTTAAAACAACGCAATGTGTACTTATTTTTTAATCTTATACAATGCATATGTTCTTTATTATTAGTAACAAGATTTATCTGTTAAAATTTACAGAATAAAATGTTGATTTTATTCTATATAACATAAGTGAGAGTGATTCGCCGTCATTTGACTTATTACATCTGTAAAATGTAAAAATAACATTTAAAAAAATTTATTTTGTCACTAAAAGTATGTTAATTTTACACAAAATTTATTTCAAATTATTTTGAGATTTGCATTTATTTTGGGTTAAATTTTTGCTATTTATCTTTTTGTTTTCAAAATAAAACTACCATTCAATTTAATATAACACTTTTTTTCAGTTCAATCTTACAAGATCAATTTTAGATCAATTTTATTTAAAAATGAAACTCTGATTTGTATTCCAATGCTAAGTTTTACTTCAGGCGTCGATTTAAAAAATTGAGACGAATATCTTGATCGCTTTATTTCGCCAGTAATGCAACCGGCAGATTCTTATCCTCAATATCGTCAATTGTGATCATTTGAGATAGTAAAAGACGAAGAGCAACCTGCAAGTTATTGTTTGAATTGTTTGACAAGAATGGAAGTTAGGTCAGAGTCGGAAATATTCACTAGACGTTTATCAGATGACGTGTATTCCAAAAACCAGATAATAGCCATCAAGAACAATTACGGTAGGCGACAACGGCGTAATTGTGTTGACAATGTCACTGTCCGATAGCAGCTCTTTTTAGGATACGCGCCCAACTTTCATCCAACTATTGACAAGTGTTGTAATTGGAAATTAGGTCGCTAAAGGTATCTCCATCAAGAAGCTCACAAACTATTTAAATTTACTAATATATATAATTTCCTACGCGGATAGAATTTTCTCTTAAAATTTATCCTAAAAATTATATAATCATGGGACAGTGTGGCATTTCGAAGAATTTTATGAGGGGTTTTTTTGAAATGTTTCCAGTTTTACTAGTAGAATGTATGGTAAAATTTCAAAGTCTTCAAAATACCACGTTGTCCCACGATTACGTGATTTTCACGATAAATTTTAAGAGAAAGTTCTCTCCGCGTACAGAAATTTCTTTATAAATTGTTTAAAATAAAAAACTGTAAGTTTCGAAAAACCTCGCTTTCGATTGTCGTGAAATTTGAATGAAAGTATAAAAGTATCGCCACTGCTCCCAAGTAAAATATTCCAAAGAGTTGTCGGTAAAAATAAAAATTAATCGAGATAAATTTACATTATTAATATAACGGCAGTTAAGTTATTTGCAAGAGCTCGCAAGTCGGGGATATAGAACGACCCTGACCTTAAGTGTTATAGTTGTCGTCTCTAATATGATTCCGAATCAAGCGGGAATTGCTTCTGATTGATGGAACGTGTTATTACAGATCGTTCTAATTGCGAGTTGAACTAAATTAAATTGTGTTAGGTTGAATTTTTCTGTTAAACAGAAACGCGCAGGAAGAAATTCTGCCCTTCGTGTGTCAACATACGATTCCTTTAGTGGCATAATAATAAAATAATTGCGTAGAAATTCGGTAATTTTATCATTACATTACTAAATTTTCCCTTGAACTTCAACTAATTGTAAGTTTTGTCCAATTATTATTTTAAAGCTATTTATTTGGGAGCAATCTGGGATAAAATTTCTCATGACGATCGAAAAGAAGATTCTTTAAAAACTACAAATAGATTTAACGTTTTAGAAATAGACTATTTGAATTAGACACTTATCACGTATTACAATCGACAAGTGGAGTCTTTAGGAACTACGTCCAAATACATTTAATATTTTAGAAATAGACACATCAAATTAGACACTTGTCACGTATTATTATACAATCGAGAAGTGGATTCTTTAGGAACTACGTCCAAATAGATTTAATATTTTAGAAATTATAGGCTCGTCGAATAAGACACTTATCACGTATTACAATCGAGAAGTAGATTCTTTAGGAACAACATCTAAATAGATTTAATGTTTTAGAAATAGACTCTTCGAATTAGACACTCATATCTTTTCCTTCGCGTATTAAAATCGAGAAGTGGATTCTTTAGGGACTGCATCCAAATAGATTTAAAATAGTTCAGAAATAGACTCCTCGAGCTAAACACTTATATCTTTTATTTCGCGCACGTATTAGTCTTTTCGACTATTAAGGTATTATGTTGTATTGCAGCAGACGACAGTGCGGGAGGAGACACGACGGCATGCGGGAACATCTTGGTGGTATTATCATGGATTGTTGTAATATTAACGATGCCGTTCTCCCTCTTCGTTTGCTTCAAGGTAAGATTCTTTTTCGGGAGGAAGGAGAGAGTCTTTAACAAAAGATATCCTTCGAAATTCTATTCTCGTACGCGAAATTGCGCGCCGTTCGCCGACAGTTGCTGACTGCGAACGTTTAATGAGCAATGTTATTCCAATGTAACTATAGTTACATGGAGTTTATACATAATATCGCCTTCGTCCACAGTGCATGCGCTCGTTTTCGTAGCGATCTTCTTATTGTATCGCGACTCAGCGAGCGAGATATGTATCGATACGGGTATTATACGCTCTTATTAATAAGCTATTTCATTAATAGCCCGTATCAGCGATCTTTTTTGCTAATTCCACGATAAAGACGAGCATTAATTTACGGTATCGCTGTGCCAGTCATCGATTACTGTGACGATCTTCATTTTTATCAAGTGATTTTATCAATTTGACTTATTTATAGCTCCATCTAATCATTACCATTGAAATTGTATTTTCGTAATGTGCAATGGTATTAATTAACTGAATTATATATGTTAATTAAACAATTATATTTATTAATTAAATTACTTATTAAATTAATTACAGCGGTACATATTAAATAGATTAAATAGAATTCCATCATATATAAATTAAATAGAATTCCAATAATTGCATTGAATGTATAAACTCCTAGTGAAAATACAAGTTACGAATACAAAATGTATCATAATGTTTTTACTTTCAGGTTGTGCAAGAGTATGAAAGAGCCGTCATATTTCGACTGGGACGTCTTCTATCAGGCGGCGCTAAGGGCCCCGGTAAGAATAACGCTATTACATTAATCTATTTGTTTGAGAGAGAATACAATCTACTTAATTGTTGCTGTACAGTTAATAACGGCCGTACTCTTTATGTCGAAACCTTTGAAAATTCTTAAGTAATTTAGCCATCCACATTTTACGCACGGTTTGCTGTCATCGAAGCGACTAATCGTATTTTTACGCTTGTAGGGATCTTTTTCATTCTGCCGTGCGTGGACAACTACGCGCGCGTTGATCTGCGAACCCGAACGTACGACGTACCGCCGCAAGAGGTAATTGCCTGCAATCATCTTTATTATCGTCGTTATTTGAACTATTTGGATATTCCTGCCGACACGCAGACGATATGCCAATAATATAAATTTCACTTATTTGTTTATAATAGAATAATAAGATACTCGTATTAATGATAATAATAAAATATTAATAGAATATGGAGATTAGAAAAAAAATATATAAATATACATAAACTATGAAATTAAAATTTAAAGCAAAAAATTATAGAAAATATAAAACTAGAAATCCCCCTCAAAACCATACAACTTTTGTCTGAAACTTTTTTGTTTGCTGGGCTTAGTTTTTGAGATATTTGACTGTCCAAGTTAAAATGGGACACTCTGTATAATAACATCAGAGATTTTTATTGACCGTATCTGGCAATTTTCTGTATTATTAAAATTGCCAGATACGTTCAATAAAAATCTCTGATGTTGTTAATTACTGCTGGCGACTTTTAAGAATGTTCTCATTAGACTCTGTATATGTAATGTTGAAGTATAAAATTTATCTGTTGATATTAGGTTTTGACGAAGGACAGCGTTACAGTATCCGTTGATGCAGTAGTTTACTACCGTGTTAACAACGCAACCATTTCGATTGCGAATGTGGAGAACGCGCATCATAGTACGAGGCTGCTGGCTCAGACAACCTTGAGGAATACTATGGGGACGCGACCGCTTCATGAAATATTAAGCGAACGAGAAACACTCTCCGGAAACATGCAGGTACACGAGATATTTAAACACAATTATGTCCGCCCTACGTTCTCTAAAAAATTTATTAATAATGACATTTTGACGATCGCGTTTATATTATATTACTAGGTTTCCTTAGACGAAGCTACTGATTCGTGGGGAATAAAGGTAGAACGAGTTGAAATGTGAGTATCCAAATTGTTATAACAAAATGACATTTCCAATAAAATATAACTTTTTTATGTTCAAGAAAGAGCAGCTATTTCTTTTGATTTTAATTGTAAAAAGAAATTACATAAAAGTGAGCTTTAAAAATATACCTGACATACTTTAAAAGATTATTCTTAATGACACGCTGAAATAATTTTTCCGTAATTTTTCTGAGTTTTATTTACTTGCAAGTATATCGTTAGAACTTTCATTTTTCAAAAAAAAACTTGTTATAAAGATTAAAATTACCAAAAGTTTTGTGATTAAATTGAAACTGTATAAAAAAAATTCTATCGTAAAAATGTAAGAATAGTAAATAAATGTAAATTTTTTCATGATTTTGTAGCAAAGATGTACGACTTCCCGTTCAGTTGCAACGGGCTATGGCAGCGGAAGCTGAAGCTGCACGCGAAGCACGCGCTAAGGTAAAATATTAATATACAGGGTGGGCCATTTTAATTTA